AGATTATGAATATCAAATAAATTTCATATAATTTATTATCAGTAATCTATGATATTTTTGTTATTAATTATTTGGATATCTAATTTAATATCATTATAAGAATATATCTGCTATGATTTTCATTTTCTCCCATTATCTTCTCTAATCAAGTTTTATTTTGAGTACGATTTTATAATTCTGTTAGGGAAAAAGAATGAATGCGCATAGAAATATGTAATTTATAAACTTTTCGTGAAAATGTTTATTTAATTCCTTAAGGTATATTTCATTTTATTTCTTTAATTTTATTAATTTGTATGTTAGCAATTCAAATTTTAAGATTTAGTTAATTTTATGCACATAAAAATTAAATAAGTACTTACAGTTTAATTTTAAACTAATTTTTTTATCGTTAACTTAAAAATAAATGATGAATGTTTTTCTTTCAAATAATGAAATTTCAATATCAAATACTCCTCCGTCCTTATTATAAGACCCAATTTGATTTTTTATTTGGTCCTAATTATAAGACCCAATCCATTTTGTCTCTTATATTTATGCATTTTTTTTCAAGATAATCCTTCTAATAATGATAGTTTTAGCCAATATACTTAATTAGCAAGGATATTTAGGAATGACAACACTTATTTATTATAAATAACCAACTTAACTTACTTCCTTAATCTCCTCAAATAAGTCAATTGGGTCTTATAATTAGGACCGGAGGAGTAGCATTTATGATTTATTCAAATATTTCTCTTATTTTTCTTTTATATCAAATAAATATTATTGACAGCAAGATTTTAAACACATGCCAGACATGGGCAATTGTATTAATTCAAGTTAATACAAGCTAATTTATTTAATTTATTAATATAAATAATATTAATTAAAATAGTATTAACTTAAATTACTATTGTTTTAGAATCAATTTTAGAATAGTATAATTATATTCTAGTTTTTATTATATTTATATTCTAATTAGAATATAGTCTAATAGAAATAAATAATAATTAATTGTGATTAACAATAATGATTTATTAATAAAATTAATTATAAAATATATTAAATTTAATTGTGATATTAATAATTTCGTGTTCTAAAGAAGACATATGGAGGGGGGGAAAAAACACTTTAAATACTAATCTAATCAAAGGCCAGACCAACTCAAACTACTTAAAAGAAGTTGCAAAGGCTTTTTTTACCACCATAATTTCAAGTTTCAAGTATATATAAAAATATGGACAACCTAGTGCTTAAATAACAGGATTACAAGAGTTGACAAAACAACTTATGAAATTTTTTTAGACATCTAAATAATATTAGAGCTGGAATGTTTATTGTTCATAACATCTGATTATGTGAGCCATATCAGGATGATTAATATCAATGTATTATGCAGACATCTTAATCCACAATCATCACTATTATATATGAACTGATGATGGCCGCATAAGCCTATAGCATAGCTCTTGAATTCATTACTAGCGAGATTGAACATGACAATTTTTGTTTCATCATTCTTCACCTTACCTTCAGCTGCAGGCATCAATTGAACTTTGCAGATCATTTTATTCCTCCAATAGTTTGCGGACACAACTTCCATGGATATCGGCGCGGAAAAGGACTGGTAGTATATTTCTTAGTCCAAGTCCATTTCTCCCCTGATGGACCTGTACCTTCCTCCATCACCCACAAATCAATTGATGAAGTTTCAGAGTTTTCAATAGCAGTGGGATAAAGAATGGCAAGCTTGTACTCATACACAGCAGAACTAACACCATCTTTATAGCGTATTTCAGCAGGCATTGGTATCAAAGTGGATGCTTCCTTTGCCACGTCAAATGAAACTATCCAGACTCTTCCAGCAATTTCACACTTCTTCCCATTATATACTTTATGCTTTACTGTATACCCAAACCAAAAGATAGCTCCATTAGCACTAAAACTTTCACCATGTTTAAGTTTCACAACCCGTAAGTTCCCAACCTCTACCTCCTTCCATGATCCCATATTTAATGAATTCACCTCCACCTTATTAACCATTTCATCATACCCAGAAACAAAGAGCCTCACTATGTTGTGGTCATTAAGAATTGGATTGAACCCAAATCCTACATCGAACACTGTACCCGTAAATCTTTCAAGGCGTCGGGACACTTGTTTGACTTCTCTAGTCGCCGGATTATACAAGAAAAGGGAATGACACTTATTAACGATTTCAAGACAGAGCAAACCATGATTGGAATAGAGGTTCCTGACAGTCAACCTAGAATTCTCAAGAGGGATCTTATGAAGTTTGTGGACTTCCATCTCGCCATCGAGCAAACAATAGTGATAGAAATCACACGCGATAAAACATTTCAAAAGAAGAAAAGGGTTTCGATGACTAGAGTGATGCAAGTGGTCTGCGATGAAAGAAGGGGATCTGAAGAGAATTTTCCAATCTTCGCATACACATTGAAATCGGAGCAAGGACTTTACCGGAAGCCTTATGAGAATGTCTCTAACTATTTCTTGTGGAAGAAATGGTGCGCTGCTATCCATTTCCATCTGCTCCATTGTGCTCGAGGATGAGAATGGGAAGACTCCGCACTTCATTGGAGGCGGAAAATTAGGGATTAATAAATAAAAAGTAATAAATATTATTATTATTATTATTATTATTAAATAAAAAGTGTTCATAGTAAACAATTCAGATTGGACAAAAAATTCACAATTATGATGAAAAAGTATTTTACAACTTTTTGTTCATTTAGTTTTTTTTTCATTATTTAATACTATAATACTCCTTAGATCCTAAATAATAAAACCCCTTTCATAGTGTAATTACATTATAAAAAGAGTCTTACATTATTGACTAGAGGAGTAATAATTTTGTGAGTGCCTTTATATTTTTTTACTGAAAAAGTAGCTATGTCAATAAATTTAATAAGCTTACTTTTTGGCCAATATTAATAGTCAATAAATCGATAAACATTAAAACAATTACAGATTAATTTTAAATTCGATTAAATACAATATGCAATTATTATGAAAGTAATTTAAAGTTTAAACTTTTCATAAAATTTCCAATATTAACAAGATTTTATTGTCAAATTGTCATTTGTTTTGAATTCGAGTTCTCTGTTATTCTATGATAAGATGTTAAACAAGCATTCTTTTTAAATAAACATCTTAAATAGGAGTAATATTTTCATAAAAATATTTCACTTTTTAATCTATTCAACACATGTACTAAATTGTACAATTAATCATCGATAAGAATCAAATCGATTCATTTTAATATTACTGACATGCACATAACAATTAATATCATGCAAATTCCTCCAAGTCTAAAAGTGAAAGGAATAAAATTTTTTAAAAAAATAAAAAATTTACAAGTGCAAAAATATCACGATATCATACAAATTCAATTTATTGTAAAAAATTGTATCTGAATCCACTTTAAATTTATAAAATATTTTAATTCAGATACTAACATATGAAAAAAAAAATGTAAATATTAATCCAATCAAAAACTAAAACAACTGAAACTACTTGCAACCTTGCACAGATGCTTAAGGTTGCAAGTTGTATGGAACCCACAATCTTTCACTTATAAAGAGTTTCCATGCCATTTGATCAGAAGACCACTTGATAACGTTCCAACTTTAGCATCATCAGTTTCTTCTAATCCTACACAATCTGTGGCTGAACCACTGTCTCAAATAAGTTCCCCACCTCATCCAATATTGCAATGAGATATTGCTCCTTCTCTTATGTAACCAGTGTCATTTTCAGTCTCCAATCTCAATGATTCTCCTGCACCAGAATCCTAACCTTCAATACAAACCAGTTCTGATCATTCTTGTTCTTTACCTCTGCAAACCAATATTTTATATGACTCTTATGGTTGACTTTCTTCCTTCCTCCCCTCATTGGGATCCCCTTCCACCATCTCATCTTTGTTGTGAATGTTGTGTGTGGGTGTGTCAAAAGAAGAGTCTCACATTACTTGGGATTGTAGAGACTAGAGGTCCAAGTAATAACCAATTTTGGACTACTAAATGGGCTAAAATGAGAAGTGAATTTGTATGCACAGCGGGTCACCGGAGATAAATCCAACAAATTTTCCTTATCCCTTGAGCATTAGTCAAACACAGTATTAGGCATTTATATACAAAATATCTATCTAATTAATATGTCATTTCAATCACCATCATGCCTTATCAATGCTCGCAACCGACAACTTTAAACTACTCATTAAATTGTATCCATGACTATTAATCAATGAGTTAATTGCTACTAAATGCATTTTTTTATTTTTCATTATTTTGCTCATCCTGTTTTTGTAAGAAGGATCCCTTTAATCCTAGCGGCTCTCTTGCTTTGTCCCTAGTTGCCAAATACTCCTCCGGTTCTTAATATAGGACCCAATTGTTAAGTTGGTTTTGGTTCTAAATATAAGACCTATTTATCATATTTATCAATTTTCTCTAAATTATCTTCATGGATACTCTCTCAACCATAATCAAGTAGAAAAGGGAGAGAAGGGTATTAAGAAATATGATTATGGTGTTCTAGGAAAAACATGTCACATTTCTTATAATTAACTAACTTACCTAACTTTCTTAATCTAATCAAATTAGTTAAATGGATCTTATTTATATTAAGGACCAGAGGAGTAACTTTTAAGGACATTATCCATAGGACAAGACTTGGATTTACCACTTATCTGCAGGTGTTGTTGTCTACAAGATTTGGGCATTACAGATGACGTTAGAAGACTCATTGAATTTTGGACAATTTAGGTGTTGTCGCCAACAATCTTAAGAGCTAATAATGTATCAATTGTTTTGGCATTCATCGGCAGCAGAGTCATCAAATAGGAAGGCCTCTCTTAGCTTTGTTCTCTTTTGATTTCATAGTCCTGTTTAAATTAGCGTTTTTCTCTTATATGATAAAAAGTTTGGGTTAAGTCTCATGTTTGTTGTTTGTGGCCCATTTTAGGACATAAGTAGAGACCTCATGATAGAAAAATGGCCAAACATGCAGCTCATGGCCTCTTTCGCATGATTGAGATGACAAGGGCTGAACCTTTGGTGCTTGTAGAGGCCAGCTATAACTTGAGTGTTGGGTTCTAACTCACATATCCTGAAGATCTTACAGTTATTTCCCTAATTGCTGCTTATGTTCAAGCCCTTACAACTCCTAATAACAGACTCAAAGTCCTGGCAAAGGAATTTGAAGCTTTAATGAGTATAAAACATTGGTCCCATGCACGTTCATTCACCTGAAGCTAAATATATTGTTGGGTGTAAATGGGTTTTTAGAGCGAAAGAAAATCCAGATGAAACAAGTAATAAGGCTAGATTAGTGGAAAAAGGTTTCCATCAAACAGATTGCTGCCAGATTAGTGACTCATGTGTGGCTCCATTGATTTCGTTTGAAGCGGTTAGTCAATTTCACATTCACCCGATCTCCAACACGGTTATTATCGTATCTTCCCATTCTCATATGTATTTTAAATTTTCAATTTAAAGAAGCTTAAAAATCGTACAACTTACCTAGTTGACAAATAAATCTCCCATTATTTAGGATCATGATATCATACTTTCTTTTTTTTCAATTTAGTTTTCTTGAGTCCACAAATACAATCATGAAATATGAATAAGAATGATGATTATTAAATATAATTCAATGAATGGCATTAATATTTAAATATTATTTTCATTTATAATAATATTATTAAAAATAATTCAAAACTTTATGTGAATGCAAATTCTAAATAAAAAAAATCGTATATTAAGTAAGAAATAAATGAAAAAGAAAGGCGTGTGAGGGTAGATACGACACTGAAATTCCGCCAGGATCTTTTTCAACGCATATACTAATAATTATCTATTATTGCTTTTCTATAGCAGAAGTTTGGATGAAAATCAACCGATCGGCTGAGAATCCGTGGTTACAACTTACGACTTTGACACGAGCAAAGAATGGTTTCATTTTAAATTTTATTGTTTTGCCGAAACACTTCCCGTTAATGTCCAGTCCATATATTACCTACTTTAACCTCAGTCCCACCATCAGAACTTTCAGAACTCTCCTTGTCCAATGTGGGGAACACCATGAAAGTGATGGACGACCACAACAACATACTCTTTATTCCCTGCGATGTCATATGTAACATTCTCAAAAGACTTCCGATGAAATCCCTAATTCGATTTCAATGCGTATGCAGAGATTGGAAAAATCTCATCAAGTCTTTGTCTTTTACCCGAGAACACCTCCACCACACCAGTCATCCAACCTTTTTGCTTCTCCTCAGATGTTACCGCAGGGTTAGTTTGCGCATTGTGTTGGTGGATCATCCCACCATGCAGGTGCTTGAAATTCAAAAGCCACCTTTGATCGATCCCTCCATTAATTTTAGGATCGTGGGTTCCAGTAATGGCTTGGTCTGTGTTGAGGTGGGCAACGAGGATGGTTGCATGGTCCCTTCTCCTTTCAGCCCAAAGAAAAATGGTACGGTTTCCCCTTACTTTTTATTATGGAATCCCCTGACCAGACAGTTTAGGGAGGTGCCCAGAACTATGAAGGGTTCTAATGGTTATTACGATGTCGGATTTGGTTTCGATCCCACTGATGATGATTTCAAGATAGTGACAACTTATGTAACTCAATTTCGTTTTGCCGTTAATCCCGTGGAAGTTTATTCATTAAACTCTGGGTCTTGGAAGGAAGTAGAATCACAAAACTTTGAGGGCATAAATATTAGAAAAGGGGGGAAAGTCATTGTTAATGGTGTTATGTTTATGTTTGGTGGAAAGCAGAGGCCGGGTGATGATTCTAATACGGCGGTTTCGATTGACCTAACAAAGCAGGTGTGTATCTCGACGCCATTACCTTTTTTAAAATATGAATATAAACGAAGTAATACAAGGCTTACTGTGCATGAGAACAAACTTGCTTTGGTTGTTGTTACTGAATCTTATATGATTCATTTGTGCATCAAGGGGAAGATGGATTTGGACTAAAAAAGTATGCTGCTAGCACCCTTTGTGACCAGTTATGTCCACTCGCGTTAAACCCAGTGACTATTTGGAAGAATGAGATTGTCTTCCGTCCTTTTTATTTGAATGGGGATGATGATGAAAAGAAAAGGTTGTATCTGCTCAATCTCACTACTAATGTAATGAGTTTAAGAGGTTTAGAATTAAATGTGGCCCCGGCCTTGTCCATGGTAATTTTAATCATGTGGAAAGTCTTGTATCAGTTGGCAACATCAACAATAAAGAACTTTAATCGTAAATTTTACTTCGTTTAAACACTTCTGATGGAAATAAATTCAAATTAATTTCTCATTTTGTATCTATAGTTGTTGAGTCCTTTTGGCGAAATTGTGCACTATGATACTCCTTCGGTCCTAAATATAACACCATTTTCGTAGTAAAACTTTGTTTAAACACTTTCTCCATTAGCAGTAAAACTTTCACCATATTTAAGTTTCACAACCCCTAAGTTCCCAACCTCTACCTCCTTCCATGACCTTATATTTAATGAATGCCCTTCTACCTTGTTAACCATTTCATCATCTGCAGAAACAAAAAGTTTCACTATGTTGTAATCATTAAGAATTGGATTGAACCCGAATCCTACATGAACTATGTACTCCTAAATCTTTCAAGGCATCGGGGCACTTGTTAGACTTGTCTACTCGCCGGATTATACAATAAAAGGGAATGAAACTTATGATTGGAAATGAGGTTCCTGACTTTGAACTTAGAATTCTCAAGAGTGATCTTATGAAGTTCCTGGATTTCCATCTCGCCATAGAGCAAACAATAGTGACAGAGATCACATGGGATCCAACATTTTAAAAGAAGAAAAGGGTTTCGATGACTAGAGTGATAGAAGTGGTCTGCGATGAAAGAAGGGATCTGAAGAGATTTTTCCAATCTTTGCATACACATTAAAATCGGAGTAGTAAGGAGTAAGGACTTTACCGGAAGCCGTATGAGAATGTCTTTGACTATTTCTTGTGGAAGAAATGGCGTACGGCCATCCATTTCTATCTACTTAACGTGCTCCAGATTTTGATCAGACTGGATTATCGCTTTCTGGGTCATTAAAATTGTGATTGCACCAATCGTTCTTTTCAATGAGCACTTTATTGGGAAAAACTAGATTAGACTGGTTATCAAATATATGTTGATTTGGATAAAGAAAAAGAGGTTTTAATTGTTCAAAAAAAATGGTGCAATAAATATAAAATGCAAAAAAGTAAATCTTTTTGGTTTTTTAAAAAAATAAAGGTATGTTTTTGATTAAAAGGAAGGTATGATAGGATAGACTCTTGATGATGAAAACTCAGCTATTATTACTTTTAAATTGATTGGGAGTTTTCAAAATCTCTAAGTCTGATAAAAGCCCCAGGTGATCACTTGGATCCAATGCTTTAATTAATGAAAACTCACTTTAATCAAAGTTGATTGACATGTCTTAAAACATTGTTAAAAACCACTTAGAGATTTGTAAGACTTGATTTAGGATTTGTAGATCTTGTGTTTAAACTACTGCAATGTAATTAGATTGGATGCTGTTTAATGTTGAATTATTTATATGAATATTTCAGTTTTGAATTCTTGTGGTCAGTTGATTGTCAGTGATTATTGATTATTATTTTGTTTACTTGGCATTTTGTGGTTGTTAATTGACAATATGAGGACACTATCATCATCCATTTATTTACACTCTAAGTGGTTGTTCACTACCAAAAAAAAACAGTTGATTAGCAATGGAATTTGCGACAAAAACAAATTGCGTTGCTAATTTCTGACGTTAATTTTTTTGATGGATTAGCGATGGAATTTCTATCCGTCGCTAAATTCCGTAGCTAATCCATCAAAAAATCCGTCAATAAATATTTAGCGATAGAATTTTTCCGTCAGAAATTTCCATTGCTAAATTGTTTATCACATAAGTTTTTGTCACTAATTCTGTCGCTAATTCTATTCTGTCATAATTTCGTCGCTAATCCATCAGTAATTTTAAATTTTATTATTTTAAATTATAATCTTACAAAAATTTATATAATAACAATTAAGAATATATTAAAAACATTTTTAATTATAAAATAAATTGATATATTTGTGGAGTTGGTGTTAATGAAAATATCATCATCATTCATATTATCATTATGTATATATTGAAAATAAAAAGACAATTTTTTAGAAAACTTGTTTATATTTTGTTAAAATAAATTCCTCTTGATTATTAGTAATAATTAAAAAAATATAAGAAGAACATTAATAACTTTCTTATACAAACTAATATATTGAAATGTATAATATTTTATCATCTATACAATATATTGAAATATATAATATATGATAGAAATTCAAAAACAAAATAAATTTATATGAATGCAAACTAATATTAAAGTGAATTTTGAATTTCAATCATTAAACAATAAAATTTAATTATAATATAATTAATACCCATGATATAGATTGATTTTGGTCTTCAAAATAAAAACAAGTGGTATATATAAAGAATTTTAAGAAAATAAATTACATAGTATATATATACAAGTAAGAGAATGCTGATTATCATAATATATTCAAATCATTTAATTTTTTATATAGAATAATTTATTAGATTTTATTATAGTAGTTATTTTTTGAATAATAAGATTTTTTGACTAATTGTAAATGATTTTTTTCAAATATATAAAACACATTAGATAATATAATATAATATAACATGAGATAATATAATATAATATAATATAATATAATATATATATCAATGTTAATTAAAAACTAAATTCAAAAATATTTATAAAAAATTTTTATAAAAAATTTAAAAAAATTCAAAACTAGTGTCGTTAGAAATTAGAATTATATTAAAAATATTTACTTAAAAATAAAACATTATAAAAAAATAGTAAAACAAATATTAAAATTTTTTTTGATTAAAATAGTTATGATTAAAATTATCATATAGTATATTTTTAAATTATCATATAGTTATGACTAAATTGTATATCTTATCAATGTTAATTAAAAAATAAATTTATAAAATATTTATAAAAAATTATTTATGATTTAAAATTTAAAATTAGTGTTGTTAGAAATTAGAATTATATTAAAAATATATATTTAAAAATAAAACATTATAAAATAAATAGTAAAACAAATATTTAAAAATTGTTTTTTCATTGAAATAGTTATGATTAAAATTATCATATAGTATATTTTTAGTTTTTAATAATATATGTGTGTATAAAATTATTTGTATAAAATAATATTATATATTTAATTTTACACAATAAGTCAACAGGTTCATTGCAGCTCAACTCGTAAAGCTACACGCGCGCACAGAGGAGGTCCTGGGTTCAAGCCATGGAGAAGTCACTTAGGCGAGGTGGCAGCACAAGTGGAGGTATTCAAAAATTCTACTGTGAACATCACTATAGTAATTATTAGGGTAATTGATCCCAAATATTCTACATGACAAACACATAGGCACTCGATGTGTATTATTCTTACTCAAAAGTCAATTTATTTAGAAGAAGAGGAAGGAAATAAATTCAATTTTGAGTAAAAATAATACACATCAAATGTCCACATGTCTACCATTTAGAATGTTTAGGGTCAACTTTAAGCCGAATCAGGAAAGTAACAGTTAAATATAACATTTCTGTTAGTTTGGGATATGTACACACCATTTTAATTAGTTTAGGATACTGGATGCATTCAAAATTATTTTAGGCCACTGGACGCACTTGGGTAAATAGTTCGGGGTGCTGGCGCACCTTAACCCTAGTTATTATCTCTTGGACCAAACCCAAAATCCAAAAAACAATTAACCTCAATTCTTAAAAGTCACTATCATCACCAATTCTCAAACATATTAAGCCATTAGTAGAACCAACTATGCAAGCTTTCATTGAAGGATTTATTAACAGGATTTGAAGTACATCGAGTTGATCGTAGTCACTAAATATAGATAAATATATTTGGTAGCAACATTTTGGAGGAGGAGAAAAGGACTTTGTTGACTCCATTTGAAATGTTCTTGAATCATGTTTGAACCCCAGATGACACATATTCATCTTTGCACATATATTACAATTGTATTAACAATTCGATTGATATTTTTTTAAAATCTCAATTAATATATAATCAGGAAGATCAATTAAGATATTGTCAAGTAAAAGTTATGTAATACTTGTTAAAAAAAATATAAGATTGTAACATTGTCACTATCATTAAAAATTTTTATTGTGTTTTAATATTATTTATTAAACCTAATTTTTGAATTTAATAAAGTAAATTTTATAAAGAATAGAGTAACTAAAACCTACTTGGAGGTAGAATTAAAGAATTTAGAGGGTATTAGATTGTATTATGATGTTGTAATTATCCATACTTATTAGAGCTCTGATTATTTTCTGATACCACTTATTACGTTTCGATACCATTTTTTAAAATTGAAAAAAAATTATGTTTTTAAAAAATAAAATCATTAAGTTATATTAATATTGGATCATCTTTGCCTATCATTTTCATAAGAAAAGTATATATTAAAGGCTTTTCATTATAGACGCTCAATTAGACTAAATTATACAATGTAGCAATGAGTTTAATAAAAAATTTTATCTTGTAATAAAAACATTAAAAATTGTAGGAAATGATAAAAATATGTAAAAAAATTTTGAACATCTCTTCTAAATATTTGATTATTTTGCTGGAATTTTTTGTGAGTTGAGTAGAGATGCATAACATTGAGGCTCATGCCTTTTTTTATAATTAAAAGAATTAAATTTTTAACTCACTGTCAAATAAAAAATTTCAATTTTTTGTTTTACAACATACAATTGTAGTGAATGACTAAAACTACTAATATTTATTATGCAGTAAATTTATTAATTAGCAGCAATTCAGTATTTTTTTTAAAATTCATATTTTGATATTTAGTTATTTTAAATAATTGCAAAGCATTACACTTTTTAAAATATTTTCTGAAGAAA